TTTATTTCGAATACTTAAATTACTGTATATTATAGTATTTTAAATACTCGAAATAAGTGATTAATTGGCGTAGTGATAAATTTCTACAAGAGAATAAGGAGCCTTTAAATTCTTAATGTAAAAAATTTCAAGTAAATTTCTTTAATAAAATTTAATAAAAAATTTAATTAAAAAATTTTGAACACTGTGTTATATCACATTTAAAATCGTGATTATTTCAATAAAAAACATTTTATGTGTAAAAAATATATTTTTTATATTTAATAAATTTTATATATATATATGCATATATGTAAAATATTCTCTCTCTCTCTCTCTCTCTCTCTCTCTCACACACACACACACACAACAACGGGGGCCAAATCTCTCAAATTGGTCTCATGATCAATTAGCCTGGATTCGCACCAGGGGCAAAGTCTGTTGGTAATGTCAAACGAATTTAGCCTGGACTTGCACCAGGGGCAAAGTCTTTGGTCGAGTCTACGAAATTTAGCACGGACTCGAACCAGGGGCAAAGTCTTTTGGTTCAAGTCTACGAAATTTAGCACGGACTCGAACCAGGGGGCAAAGTGTGTCGGTAAGGGGCAAAGTCTATCGCACGAAGATGGCGGTCTCTCTTTAGGCAGGCCTTTGGCGATCTGTCTATTAATCTGTGTGTAATATGCATAAGTCTAATTCGATAGTCTCACCAGTGCTCTGTCTTATTTGAAATTAGTCAAAGTACAATTTAATATATGGAGATCATATTATGCCGAAATCATTTCATGCTGTTCAAAGATGCAACTTCGCACTAATATGTAAAATTCTAGTAATTCCTACGAAAACACTTGCGTTAGACGAGATGGCGCCAGTTTACAGTACAATTTGACGCTTGCGCCACAGATTAATAGACAGATCGCCAAAGGCTGCCTAAGAAGAGACCGCCATCTTCGTGCGATAGACTTTGCCCCTTACCGACACACTTTGCCCTGGTTCGAGTCCGTGCTAAATTCGTAGACTTGAACCAAAAGACTTTGCCCCTGGTTCGAGTCCGTGCTAAATTTCGTAGACTCGACCAAAAGACTTTGCCCCTGGTGCAAGTCCAGGCTAAATTCGTTTGACATTACCAACAGACTTTGCCCCTGGTGCGAATCCAGGCTAATTGATCATGAGACCAATTTGAGAGATTTGGCCCCGTGTGTGTGTGTGTGTGTGTGTGTGTGTGAGAGAGAGAGAGGAGAGAAGAGAGAGAGAGAGAGAATATTTTACATATATGCATATATATATAAAATTTATTAAATATAAAAAATATATTTTTACACATAAAATGTTTTTTTATTGAAATAATCACGATTTTAAATGTGATATAACACAGTGTTCAAAAATTTTTTAATTAAATTTTTTAATTAAATTTTATTAAAGAAAATTACTTGAAATTTTTTACATTAAGAATTTAAAGGCTCCTTATTCTCTTGTAGAAATTTATCACTACGCCAATTAATCACTTATTTCGAGTATTTAAAATACTATAATATACAGTAATTTAAGTATTCGAAATAAAAGTGATTAATTACTCGAAATAAGTGATAAATTGGCGTTACTAGTAATAAATTTCTATAAGGGTTGAAATAAAGTATAAGAGATAAATAGGCTATATGTGAGCCGTATGCGAAATGTGAGATGTAAGACGCATATTGAAATTTAATTTTTCGATATAACTTTCAAAAATGTACACGAGGTACAAAAAATTAGCTTGGACATTTGTAAGACTTAAAATTGGGATTAATTCTCAATTCTATTAATTAAATTTCGATATAACACACCTTACATCCGCGCACGGCTCACATATATATAGCCCATTTATTAGTGCAATTTTTAAGTTCCTTATTTTTCAAAGTTCACCTTTTTACGTTATCAAAATATTTTACGTTTTCAAGAATTTTATATTTTACTTACCGCAGTTTCTTATCCAAATGTAAAATCTTTATCGCAGTCTATAAAAATTGAAACAATTTACAATTTTATGATATAATATTATTATTACAATTTCTATATATATGCACATCTGTCAAATATCGTGATTTATTTCACATTATTATTATCTATTTTAATAAAAAAAAAAACAAAACACTTGCAACAATCAAAAATAAACCGCCTGCCGCGAACGGAAAATGCCAGAAAGCACGCAATTTCCGCGAATCTCGTAATTTTTTTGAAAAATCAACAATTTCAACGAAATTGTAAATTCTTCAAATCACTGCACAAGTATAATTCACAATAATAATTTTCAGTAACTACGATAAAAAATCGTATACTGAAAACCGCAAACGAAAGTGCAATGGGAGTAAGAGTAAAGTCTGTGATAAAATTAATTGGCAATAGAAAATTAATAATTTTCAAATAGAAAAATTTGAAATTACCGAGGATTTACAAATAATAAAGTAAAAATATTAAATAATTTATGTTTTCGAATTTTGCTCGCGGAGAGGATCTTTAAAACAAGATTTTTAGAAGAGAGGACCTTTAAAATATAAACAGGCAAAAACGTTGGAAAAATTAAAGCGCGCGTTTAAACAGATAAACGCAATGAAATAAATACGCAATTGTTTTTACTTATCGCTGTAAGCTCACAAGCTTCTGACGTGCTATACACTTTTATATAATATATACAAGGTGTCCGGTAACTAACGGACCAATGATTAAGGGCGGATTCTCTGGCCAATTTGGAGACGATTTTTCCTTAGCAAAAATGTTGAGAAGTCAATAATTTTCGAGTTATAAGCGATTGAAAAAAATAGGTTTTTGAAAACTAAACGTTTTGGAGTTAAAAGTCTAACATAATTACATTCTTCAGTTAATTTCAGGTAGAGTTTACTATAATAAAATTTTAATTAAGGCTTAGTTATAAAGATACATAATGACAAAGATTGGAAAGTTGTAAAAAATGATGACTTTTTCGACATTTTCGCTGAGGAAAAATCGTTCCCAAATTGACCAAAGAATCCATTTGTAATCATTGGTCTGTTAGTTACCGGACACCCTGTATATTGGACACGAGTTTCGTTTGTTTCAGATTCTCGAGAGTTGAAGTAGGAACATACGAGTATCATATATCGTTTGTGACTTGCCGAATGAAAGCAAGACAGAGAGCGAACGAGATGATGAGCTTAATAGCTCATAATGTTATAAATAAATAAATAAAAAATTATAACCTGACCTACTAGTTATTGAATCTTTTTTAATAAAATGTTTCATTATTATTATCATCTAAGTCTAAGTCGTTTAATTACTTTTTAGTTTTTTAATAATTAATTTAATTTATTCTAGTCATTTTTATATGAGAAAAATAATATCACGTATACGTTTTATAATGAATTAATATATTTCGGGAACCGAATTATATATTCTTAATAATATAAAAGTGTTCAAAAATTATATTTGACTTTTAATTTTAATTATTTTATAGCAAAGAGTTCCGAAATCTCTTACACACATAATGGGGATTTTTTTCATCCATATAATTCGCAATTAAGTATATATGTTAATTATTAATTTTAATAAAATAAAAATTAAAATTAAGGTCAAATATAATTTTTAAACACAAATATATTAAATTAATTATAAAACGTATACCCATGATAGTATTTTTCTCGTACAAAAATAATTAGAGTAAATTAAAAATCATAAAAGATTAAAAATTAATTAAAGAATTTAAACTTATATTTTATATAATAATAATAAAACATTTTATTACGTCAAACCGTCGTGAAATAATTAAATAAAATTTGCTAGTTACGTCAAAGTCAAGTTTCTAAGCTTATAAAACATTTTATTAAAAAACAGATTCAATAAATATAAGTACATGTTATATATATACTTATATTTATTGAATCTGTTTTTTTATAAAATGTTTTATTATTATCATATATAATATAAATTATTTAATTATTTTTTAATTTTTTTATGAGTAATTTAATTTGTTCTAGTTATTTTTGTACGAGAAAAATACTATCACGGGTATACGTTTTATAACGAATTAAATATATTTATGTTCAAAAATTATATTTGACCTTTAATTTTAATTTTGTATTTTATTAAAATTAATAATTAACATATATACTTAATTGCGAATTATATGGATGAACAAAATCCCTATTATGTGTGTAAGAGATTTCGGAACTCTTTGCTAAAATAATTAAAATTAAAAGTCAAATATAATTTTTGAACACTTTTATATTATTAAAAATATATAATTCGACTCTCGAAATATATTAATTCATTATAAAACGTATACGTATTAGTATTTTTCACATATTAAAATGATTAGAATAAATTAAATTAATTATTAAAAAACTAAAAATTAATTAAACGACTTAGACTTAGATGATAATAATAATGAAACATTTATTAAAAAATAATTATAATAGGTCAGGTTAATATTTTATTATTTATTTATTTATTTATTTATAACATCATAAAATTCTGTCCTTTCCGAAATACGCGAACGCTACGAAAAGATAAATCTCGTACATGCCGCCGGACGAGTTCATGAGCATGAGACGCTCTTATCTTGGGAACGTATTAATAGTTACTGCATTGACCACTACTACGATATGGCGCTGAAATCAGTGAGAAATGCTGGTCTCTCCTTCATCCAGACCTTTGGCGATCTGTCTATTAATCTGTGCTTGCGCATGCGCGAAACGTCTTTGAACACGTGATCGACTCGAGCAGACTCGTGCTGTCAAGATACGTTATCGGAGCTCACATAAAGTACTAACAATTTTCTTACAATTTATGCTAATGACGTCCAGCATATTTATATGTATTAATACATATATTTAATATTTTTCATCCGTTTTCGCGAGAATTACTAATATTCTTCATTGCAGCGAAATACATATATTTACGATGAGGCGTCTGCTAGCGTTCGCGCTCCTGCGCATGCGCGGGAAACTCGTCCCCCCCAAGTACGCTACGCGGCGTGTTGGTCGGTTCAAGTTGTCAGTACGTGTACGGCGATAAGCTGCGTCGCGTCGCGTCGGCCTACATCAAACGTATTCGCATAACCGTCTGGCGACGAGAGACGCGCTCTTATTATCATAGCCGTGGCTCTTATCTCGTCTCCGCGATAAGGATAACGCGCTTGACATAAACGTCGAGATCCTCGTGGGGTTGCGCGAATTTTGAATGTGGGTCCAAAATACCTATGTAATAAGAGAAAATAAACGACGCGGCGCAGACGCGAAGACCCCCCGAAGAACGCGAATCGCGTGTAACGTACTCGAATGTGCTCGCGCGTTTTCGTTCCACGGAGAAGAAGAGATCGCGGATTGATGGTCCTCGCGTCGCGAGGTGCCTCCCGTTCGTGACTCATCCCTGTCATCGAGTTTCCATCAGTCCGACCGTTAGGGATCCGCCGACTTTCCCACCAACGGAGAGATGTGAATTCTCGACGTGTGAGTTTCGAGGGAGAGACGCCATCCGTTTTAAACGAGGCCACGTGGACCACGTCGGGAGCCAGGAAAAATGTGAGTCCGTTTTTTTCTTTTTTCCCCTCTTTCTCTCTCTCTCTTTCTTTTCCGCGTTGCGATCGCGCGCGTCAACTTTTTCCTTCCTCGAAATGACGTCTTTCCTCGGGAAAGTTAGCTGCGCGGAATGAAACCGTCGATTTTTAATCCGCAAAATGAGAACATGAGAGTATTGAGAAAGCCGAAGAGGCGGGAGATGATCTTGATACGGAGATTTTTGGAAAAGCTGTGCGAACGAACTATATATATTTTGTCGACGAGAGAAAAAATAAAGTTTGACGGTGTAGAAAAAGATTTATAGGTCGGGCGAGGCAAAAAAGTGAAAAGATTTTAATGAGAATTGCGTGTGATGGAGAAAAATTCGATTATAAACCGGGATCACGTCGGATGATATTTAATTTTGCAGCGGAAAGCGAGAGCGCGATGATTTGATCTCGAGCGCGAGATATCTCGGACGCCGTAGTTTTATCCTTTAAATTCAATTCGATTAAAAAAAGAGCGTTCGCGTTAAGTCGGTGAAAAAGGATGACGAGAGAACTAGAGAGAAAACTTATACAGTTTGCAGCGTCGCGCAAAGTAACTGTTAATTCGCAACTGACAAATGCAATCGCGCAAAATTGTTCCCTCCGACTGTTAACAAAAAAACAGTTTTGCTTAAATTGAGTTAATCGGTGGTTGAGATAAATTTACGTCATATTCAAGTACATTCGTCTATCTCTAAAATATCTGCACTGAAAAAAATTCAAATTTAAATAAATATTTATTTTAACGCTGTCTTATAAATCATTTTTTATTTGAATTTATAATATTGATTTGATGTGAAAAACATATATTTGGTACAATAAGGAAAGTCCTTTTCAAGACAGATAAATATTTATTTGTGTTCAATAAATGATTTATAAGGTATTGAAATAAATATTTATTAATTTAATATTTTTTTCTCATTGTCAGTATACGCAATCTTAAAAGATTGCCATGCAATCGGAATATTTACATAACACACACACACACACACATACACACACAATATATATATTCAATAATTCAATAAAATAGATATGCATTAAAACGATACGTAATTTAATAAAAATGCTCACATGATAATGTGTGTTATAATAAATATGATATGCACACAAATTACGCTCTCCGTTTCTTTAGTATCATTGGAAAATGTCACGGGTTTACATTTACATCCCTGATTTTGCGATATTTGCGTTTCGGATAGCAATCTCAGCCTTAACACTTCCCAAGAGACGACGTTTCGTCGATTTGTTTCGTTCTGACCGAGTGATATAATAAAATAATGTACACGAGTAATATTACATTTAACTCCGGCTAAATAAAGGTCGAAGCTGTATTCCGCTGGGATTTCGAAAGCGAGAGAAAGAGGGGTGAAAGAGAAAAAAGAGACGATGTCATGTCTTATTCATTAACTAATTGTGCTTACAAAATTAATCCATTATTTGTGCGCTTATCGCAGTCGCTCGCTATCAACGATTGAGCAAATATCGAAAAAAATGCAATACTCAACTTCTGAGTCATATTAGATACTAATGCACGGCTTTATACAAGCATGTCTAGATTTAAATAAAAGTTTATTTCGATGAAATTGTAATAATCTGCACTATACAGAAAAATATAAGAATTATGACTAATACAATGAAAAATTTATTGAATTTATTGAATAAATATTTCTTTCAATATTGCCTTATAAATCATTTATTTGAAACTGTAATAATATTGATTTGACGAGAAAAATATTTGATATAAATAGAAGAAAATCATTTTCAAAAACAGATCAATATATTTACTTATTTGTTTCAAATAAATGATTTATAAAGCAGTATTGAAATAAATATTTATTAATTTAATATTTTTTTTCAATGTGGTTATTCTATTAGAATTTATAAATTATTAATTAAAATAATGTTTTTTTTCCGTGAAAATTGTTTAGATGTTTTAAATGGTGCTATATAATTCATCGAACACAATTTTTTTCGCAGCAGTTGCGATATTTCGCTTTAAAAGATAACGTGGTTTTATTGAAATACATTTATTTTCACGCGTCACGGAAAACGTTTCAGGAATCCTATATTTTGCTAGGTTTCCGTTATGTATTCCATGAGAGAGAGAGGAAGAAAGAGATTCTGTTATACACATCCGTTTGCGTTTATTTCGGTGCTGATCAAGAAACATCGCTTTTAAAACGTGGGAAGGTGACGGATAAATCTCGCGTTATCACTAGGAATATATCGCGATAATAAAGTCGCAAAAAATAAATAAACCAATCGTCTTTGATCTCATTCTGTATAGATTCTTCGAAATGATTTTTCATTAACTTCAGTCAAATTCTTTGAAGATATTTTTTCAAGATTTTTTTTTCCGTTTCTTTGAACAAAATTGGGTTATCAAAAAAATCTAGATCGTTTGAAAAATTACATTGATTATCTGCTCCGCATCTCGGGCGTTCCGGATTATAAAAAAAAAGGAAGACAAAAATGTTGAATCATCCTCTTGAAAAGGCTTCGGGAAGAAGAAGAATTTGCTTTGATCGATATGTCGACGTATTCATGATGATACGGCGGATTTTGCGGGAAATAATCTCGAATAATTCTGAGGGAGAGACCCGATTATCAACTCAGGATCGATATCACAATTTTCTTCATCTACAAGCTCCAATCACATCCTAATGATAGCGATGAACGACGCGAGGATAAAAAGCACGCGTTAAAGAATAAACGCGCTCGCGCGCGAGTAAACAGGTGACCCAATTTATAAACCGCTCGATTTTTTCTATCCTTGATATATATACAACTCCGAGCGTTCGTTTACATTCGACCGATAACGATATTCGCGCGCAAAGAGAAGGGTGCCCGCACAACGGCTCGATTCACGGCACACACATCGATCGTCGTACACCGGAATCTCGTTCATCGCGACCGCACGCACACGCGATCGCCCGTGCCCATTGACGCGTGTATATATGCACGCGTGTGCGCACCCGGCATACAAACACCGGCAAACCGTGACACGTATTCTGTCCCGCGCGACACTTTGAGATGGAATCAGGCCGATATCGCCCGAGCGAATTAAGTCTTCAATAAAAATAAGAAGCATGAGAAGAGAAAAATGGAATGTCATGTGTCACAAAAGTAACATTTTCTTTTTAATTAGGTATAGCTCTAATTCTGTAAGGTCTAGCATTTCCGAATATTTACATCTTCTATCTTTATTCACTTCTGAATCGAAACTGTCCGAATTTTAATTGATAAATAATCAATCTTATTTTTAATATCAAATATTTCCAAATATATAAATATATCCTTATATTAATACTTAAAAAAAATATTAATATGTACATAGTAAAATTAATCGAACATATATCTTATTGTGGTAATTATATTAATATTAATCAGAAAAACTCTTATAAAATTCTTCTAATACCATATTGTTCCACGATTACCATGATTTTCAGGGTAAATTCTAGGAGAGAATTCTCTCTCTGATATATATATATATATATATATATATATATATACGTACTTTACTTTTAACTTAGGAAAGTTTCAAATTTTGTTTAATCGTATAAAGAGATTATTTTTCTGAAAAATTGTTTTCTTTATAAAAAAAATAGCTATAAAACGATTACACGTTTCATTGTCAACTAGATAAGATCTGATCAGGATAGACATCAGTGACTAGTAGGAAATCATTCAAGAACAAAGTAAACAATGTCTACATTAATTGAAGCCAGCTCGATATACATATATGTGCGTTTAAAAGCGTCTCATCGATCGTATTAATCTAATATTATTTTTGCATCGTGTTGCAATTATCCGCGATACTAAGTTTTATTCGAAGTTATTAACGTTAGCGAGAAATCAGAAAGAAAAATGAAAATTCCATTCCCTGTGTAGAAATCGCAATATCGATCACTTATCAGATTATCGGCAGATATATACATATGCTCTGGCATATATTGGACGAAGGGTATATATTTTTTTTGTATCAGTCGCGTTAGATAAACGATAAGTGGTGTTTCGGTCTCTTGGTGATACACATCTTTTTTGTATGTACAGAATGTGTTTAACTTTTTTTTCTCTTGATCTATCTTTAAAAAAAAATTAATAAAAATATTAAATTTTCATTATTTTTTTAGATGAGGAAACTTAAAATTTATTACTGCTGCCATATTAATTTCGAGATAATATTTTAAAAATAATTTTAAGATAGCAAGATATAATATCGAACGAGAAACTAATTTCTCGTGTGAAGATAAATCGAAAATATAGAATAAAATTTTTTCTGAAAGGAAGTATTTATGCTTTTTTAAGCTTGAATTAAGCTGCAACGATCTTGCATCGAATTTATTTCTCAACGATGGTGATTAAAATATGTATAAAAAATTCAATATTCTTTTTGTTAAAGAAATAAAGTTTATCTGGATACTTTTCACATATAACATTTTCAGGGACTTCAATTATTTTAAATTGTTTTACTAAATGGCATATTATATTGTATTATATTTTTATACTAATAATAGCTATAGTTGTCGAGAAGTATAGTTCTCGATATATCAGATCAGATAATTGAAGCAAATATAGTGTAAATATGATTATTTACTCCAAAGTCAATTTTCTCGAAGCTTGATTGAAAACATTTTATTCTACATTTTTTAAATATATTATCTTTGTACGAGGAAATTATCTTCTGTTACTTGTATTACATTTTCTCATCATTTCTTATCTTGTATTTCTGAATATTCTAAGATACTAACATTTTGAGTACAAATGCTTGCTCGATGATTTTTCGCGGAAATGGTCTACTTTAGTTATCTATATATAGATTCTATATTATAGAATATCCGGTGTTGAAACAGTGATTAACTGAAGACACATCTATTGAATATCGCATTTTCTGCAATGTGCACTATATCGAGAAACCTTGTATCCTTTGCTTTCCGATAAGAGCGTGTAATTATTTACGTATTCTCTGGTAAGGCGAATAATGAATCTTTACAAGTTACAGATTAACATTTACGTAGACATTAAATTTCTATATCGTGTAAGACTTTGTAAAATGTGTCTCGCGCTTATTTTAGACTATACGTGTTGTTGAAACTCGGATGGGAGTGTTCATGTAATTATCAATTAATTGCATGGAAATTATCAAATATTATTCTGCCGTATCGCATTACTAATAAATCAGGCGAGAAATCGATGAAGAATAACGTAATTTATAACGAATAGGTTGTACAGGAACAACACCGCCCAATAAAATCGATTTAGTTAAATAATTATTAACACAGGTTTTTATGTGACAAACGTATGACATATGATACGTGACATCTGATTATGATATATGAGAAAGTGCTTCAAAAGAATGATTTATTTGAGAGCAGATATTTTGATATGCCAGCTTCGCACATTTATTTTTAACGAAGCGATTATTAATGCAATTATTCGCACAAAAAGAAAATTTGGATAAAATTTCATTATATCTTATAAGAAATCTGTAAAAATAAAATTTTATAACAGAAAACAAGTATACACATAAATATATACATATTTAGAAAATAAATTAATATCTGACACATTATTTTTATTTTCTTAGATAAACGTTAATTTTTTAATTTACATCTGTTAATTTAAATTTCATACCGCGTAATAATTTAAGAAAATTGTACGATTGCGTCAAGTTCGCAATATTATATTTATGTCTTCTGTCTGTTGCAGAAGAACACACAATGCATATGTATGATTGTTATTCCGGATATGTATATAACCGCGAATGATTTGTCAGTCGCGAGAATATAAGCAAACGTCTTTCGAAAAAAATAATACGGACGAATTTTGGAATTTCAAACAGTTATGTTTGGAACGAAACTGGAAACTTATATATTATCGGAACAAGGGCGCGAATTATCACGCCCACATTGCGATCGAAGAAGATTGAATACCTGCTATCTTATCGATTCCAGAAATTTTAGCTAATTTCAGTTGCAGCTAATACGTATGGCAGAATATTACAGTGTGGGTTGAGCCGTACAGTTAATTAACTAATTGTGAGAGAGATAAAAATCTCCCATATATGAATAACTAGCTATTATTCTCCAATGACATATATAGAAAGAGTATTAAAGTATTAATATAAGGATATATATATATATATTCTTATATATATATTGATTTCTGAATCTCTAAATTGATCGAATTTTAATTAATAAATAATAAAAATCTTATTTTTTAATATCACACATGAATATTTCAAATAATAAAAATCTTATTTTTTAATATCACACATGAATATTTCCAAATGTATATATATATATATATATATATATATATATATATATATATATACATTTGGAAATATTCATGTGTGATATTAAAAAATAAGATTTTTATTATTTATTAATTAAAATTCGATCAATTTAGAGATTCAGAAATCAAATATGAGAGAGACAGATTTAAATATTTCAAAATATCTAAAAACACTCAAACACTTTTAATTCTAAAAATATATCTTTGCCAAAATTGTATAAATTACAAAATATAAGAAAATAAGCAACCGATAAACGCGAAAAATAAAAAAAATTTAAGTGTCTTTATCTCAATTGAATAATTGAAAAAAATAACTAAATTTTCATATGAAACCTTCATTAAAATAATTATATATAAAAAATATAAAAATTAAATTCTCGCATCGGACACATCATCGTTAAGACTCAATCAGTGTTTACCTGTAGAGTTCCCTTTGCGCACTTAATATTTCATACGTCAAAAATATCTTACCTTTTCGCACCGTGTATTTGCGCAGATGTGCCAGCATGTCCGAGGGCGACGCGCAGGAAGCAGCCAGCGAGGAGATCGAGAAACAGGGGTCCCTCTACGTGTTCCCGGGTGCGGGTCGCCCCAGCTGTACGACGTCGTCGTCATCGTCGACATCGACGGCGTCCCTTCAGCCGCTGTCGTCGCTCCTCCACGATGGCGGCCACTCGACCACGATCAGCACAACGATGACGACCAGCAACACGACGACGATGACGACCAGCACCACGACGACGATGACGTCCACGTCGACGAAGATCAGCAACGGCGACGAGGACGAGGACGCCGTAGAAGAAGTCACCTCGCCGGCCAGGAAGAGACCCTTACCGAAGACTCACGCGAGATCGGCGAGCCATGGAGGTGTCCTGGCGGATTGCACGACCGGACGGCAGATCTACGGGTCCTTCCTGGGTGCCCTGACGACGGTGGGAAGCGCCACGTCCGCGGGTCGACCGTCAGCGCTGAAGAAGCCGGGTCACCAGAGAGCCTTCAGCCAGGGTCAGGTGGCGGACGTGACGCAAGGCCAGTCGGCCGTAACGGGACACCATCGCGTCGGTTCCAGAACGGACTTTATCTTGCCTCCGGGCCACAGGGAAGAGGGCAGGCCGCCTACCGCCGGCAGGATGCCTTCTTTTCGTGGCCATTCTCGTCAGGCGTCCAGGTATGAAAGGGGATATACGATTTATTGTTCCGAATGATCGGAATCGATCATGAACAGAATTGAATAACTGTACATTAACAGCAGATAATGTCTAAAAGAAGCTGTTAACACATTATATTAATACGCGAAGTTTAATCAAATCTATATTTGTCCGAAAATGTTTTCTAAACCTTTATAATTTGGATAGAATTTTTTCTATAATTTTATGCATTGTGTAATGCAGAAAAATATATTAAGAATTTCTGATTCATCATTTTCCGTCGTATGATTGTAGAGAGATAATATAAATCTTATATGTTTAATGGGGTTCTTTATATTAAAATTATTGATAATTTTATATCGATGATATATATCGAGATCATTTATCATGAAATTCCAAATGTTTCGTGCATAAATTGTGAATAAGATATTTTTTTCTCTATTGATTTTTCATGTGCATAACAAAGTATTAAAAGCTACGCCGCGATGTTCGCAGATCGGAGTCTATTTATACGATAAGACGTAGCGTTGCGCCCCCCTGGTGGAGAAGACTATGGGCTCATTGTTTCGGTCCAATGCCGGAAGAGCCCCGCCTAAGGACAATAGTACCGAATCATTTAATCTCCCCGAAAACCCCGAAGAGACAGCATCCTAATGGAGATAGGGCGGACAACAGGTAAGGGCGACAATGACAATGTATCCGACAGAGTCGATTCGAACGAGATCATCATCTTGCACATTTGACATATAACAATGTCGCGTTTCAGGGTACGCACAACAAAGTACACGGCGTTGAGCTTTCTACCTCGTAACTTGCTGGAGCAGTTTCATCGCGTGGCCAATCTGTACTTCATCTTCATCGTCCTGCTGAATTGGGTGCCGGCTATAAATGCCTTCGGCAAGGAAGTCGCTATGATCCCGGTCATGTTCGTTCTGGGTGTTACGGCGCTTAAGGACTTCTTCGAAGATCGCCGGCGTCTCGCCAGTGACCGGCGTGTGAACAATTCCACCTGCCGCGTCTACGTTAGGTGAGTCGACGAACAAAGTGCGACGTTATATCCGTAATAGTGTAGCGTAGAGATCGTTCGAATACAATCAGCTTCTCTCTTTCCTTCTTCGTTCTTCCGTCCCCTTCCTCCCTTTTTCGACCTGCGCAAAAACACAGTGCACGGAGATAATGCAAGTTTTACGACTATCATAAAAAGAGTTAATACAATGTTACGCGGTTCTCTCTCTCTCACACTTTCTGCGAATTATACGTGAGAGCTGGATGAGAGAGACATTAGCGATCGAAGGCGATAAAACACGTGGAAAAATGCCTCCGTTATTGCGGGAAAGTTTGATGATGGGATTAGGATATTAATGAAATGTAACCATTATAATTCTAATTACAGGGAATCTTTTTTTTAATATAACATATAACTCGATATATATATGTATATATATCTCGGACTTTGAATAATTTTTTAATGCATATTATTCTATATGTGCGGAGAGAATTTTCTCTTAGAATTTACCCTGAAAATTATGATAATAAAAATATTATATATAATAACGTATAGTCAAATTAATTGAATATATTTTATATCTTATTATGGTATTTCCAAGAGAACGTTCTCTTTGTATAGTAATATAAATATGCTACTATAAACGCAGTGATATTTGTGAAAATTCTTCGAAGAAAAAACGAATAATTCGAAGTACCTTAATAATTCTCCACTTGACGAATCTATCAAAGAAACACAAAAGAATGATCGAGTTCCGCGAGTTTTAATTTTATTTCTAATAACGAATCATCACTCTTCACGCTGCGCTATATTTTATGCACGACAGGTTTTTCCTTCTCTCTTCCTTCTCGCGCCTATGAATGATTGAATAGAAATGTTCAATTTTTCATCGGCCTCGCTCGTTTATCCTTGCTTTTAGTTTACCGCGCGACTCGCCGCTTCAGTTAGAATCCTTGCGGCAACGGATTCCGATAGATCGATTCCAATAAGACCGACAATTCTAGATATGTAGGTCACGTACGAAGCGTGGACGAACGGTCTGCGTGCACGAGCGCGAACATGGAGAGGAAAGTGTCCGGCGTTTTACCGTTCTTTTTCCGCAAGAATACGTCTCGCGACGTTATTCTAGATCATCATCGTTCTTGACTATATGTCCTTGATTGTTCTGGCTATCGCTAGAGGATTGTTTACGCTCGTGAGGCCAGTTTTAATTGACGGCATCGTCAACATCCTACAGCTGCCTCTTAACGACGCGATCTCGATGTGTTTATTCTCGCCGCTCATCGTACGCCATCCAAAATGGTCAGCGAACGATCGGAGAGCGTTGCACGATACCACTTGGACACACATGCGCATGTGATCAAACCGTAGATAGATACAATTCAACGCGTGCGCCGATATAAACGCGTATGTACATACGCCACGTGGTTTTGATTGCAGCGCAACAAGGGGGAGATGGATTGAACGAGGGTTGAATGAACTCCGAAAAAGTTCTCTTCGCTCGCAATCGTCTATGAGATAGCAAACGGTTCTACATTAATGTTGTAAAGCTCGTAATCGTCTAATTTCATTTAAAATTACGTTTTCTAGCTAAGGAAACAGGTCTACTAATGAATAATTATATGTATATATATTTATAGATCGTGTTGTTTTAATATGCAGTTACTTTAACTACTTAGAAAAAGGTACTTGTAAAATAGCACAAAAATTGCAAAAAATAGACTAATGAATAATTATATGCATTTCGAGCTCGTGTTGTTTTAATCTGCAGTCGCTTTAACTATTTAAAAAGATACTCGTATAAAATAACAGGAAAAAATGTGCGAAGAAATAACAAGTATTAATGAATAATTATATTTCGACATCATGCTATTTTAATCTGCAGTCACTTTAATTATTTAAAAAGATACTCATAAAATAGCAGGAAAAAAATTTCTCAAAGTACATAAAGATTGACGTTAAATAATAACGAATTGGATCCGTGAAAAAAATCGAGCCACTTTATAATATTTTTAAAATCCGAATCCACGTAAAAATGTACAGTTGGTTGATCCCGTGCGCCTCGTATAAATATAATCGAGTTTGCAATCTGTCTGTCTGATCGCTCGCTCATCGTTTCGATCGTGCGAACGTCCGCAGGTTTGATCGTCACGAGGACTCGTTCATAATGCAATATAATTGGAAAGTTGATCGATGACTCGGCAATTCCAATACAGCGTATAACAACTTCGGCAACGATTTCACGGACGACCTTGCCCTTCGTCATGTCCCTTCGTCGTGTCCCCTGAACGTCGATTCTCCGTCAATTTTTAATATCGGATATATGTTTGCCGATCGTGACGAGAGATTCCATTCGGGATCGTTCTAGAAACTTTCGTGTCAATCTTGATTTCGATTCGCGCTCTTATCATATTGACAATGAGATATCGTCGCGCTCGCGATAAAAATTTATTATTATATTATTATTACGACGATAAAATATCTATGCATATTTTCCTGCTGACATATAGAGAAATATTCTGTATTACGTAGGCATGCATATTTAACACGAGAGATGCTAATCGATCGCTCAAGTGTCGCGGAGTATATGAGTTCAAAATTATAATGTTAGCGATGCAAAGAGGAATCGCGAGAAATATTCGTCGAAGTATATAATCGTATCAGATGGGACAAATAATCGAGTGAACGAAACAGAAAAACAAGCGATATGATGCGAAACGATCGACGGAATCTTTCACGCGTCGCGACGCATCACCGGGTGGATGCATTCGCGTGCATTCTCTGTCTCGAAGGAAGAAACGATCGATTCGAAATTACATGTCGTTCATGAGTCGCTAATCGCTCGTGCCTATCGTTTTCTAAACGCAACATATCCGCATAATGGTGCGAACTATTCCGCTTTCTCTCTTTCTTCCTCTGGTCTCTCGTGGTCACAGGTCGATTGCAATCTGTCTCGTGCGCCCGAGACCTTGACATTCGCATTTATTACCATTACCCTCTGTTTTTTATCTCGTCTCGCGGCGCGTGCCTCGCAATCTGTCGATTCCGCTCGTTAAATTACCGCGACATATTTTTCATCGTCATTATGCGCTTCGTCCACGCCTACAATGTCAACATTTTCGCAGCCGTCAAGTCGAGAAAGACAGAGAGAGAGAGAGAGAGAGAGAGGATAAGTCGAGTTCGCTTTAACGTTACATTGAAAATGACAGTGAATAATTTTATTCACATGACCATTCGATAAAAAAAAAATCCATGGTGAAGAGAGTTTGTTAAAAATAAATTAATACAATTGTCGCTCGTATATTGAAAACAAAGTGATAAATATAAGGCCAACTTATCGAGCTGAATATTCGAGATGTTCAGTCAACTACCATTTATTACATGTATAAATTATAAAACTACAGTCATTATATTAAAACTAACGCAAATTACAATCATTCTATAAACGTTTCGACCGCACGCGGTCTTCTTCAGTATAATTATTGAAATATAAATTCTTACAATTCACATAATATCGAAATTTAATTATAGTTATTCAGAATCAAGAGTTTTTGAGTAATTAACGCGTGTTTCAATCCGTCCTGTCCAACAATGTTCGCCTCGATATGATCCCTGATTTTGTTCAGATCTCGGATAGTTTCATCGTTAATATGCGAGAAATTAACCCGTTCCGTAGGCGCTGCGATTTATAAAAAATTACCGATCAACGCATGTCCAAATTATAATATGTATCCCCTACAATTGGTAGTATGCTTACCTATCATCGTTCTTCTTGATAATTTTGCTACTTATTAACAGTTATTAAGGATGACACATAACAAACCAACAATACAGAAAGACAGCTCATTTTAAACTCTACTTGATCGGAGAGCGTGCGTGTTTATATATGATCTAATATCTATGTTTTACTCGTTAATGTCCTATTTGTCCTATTATTATTTCTTGTTCGCTAATATATCCAAAATATCAAAATACGACTCGCTAAGTAACTCAGTATCTTTGTTTAAATTTAGTCCATTTTTTTGTTCCTTGATATGTAGCATCTCAGAAATGAGTCTTTTATAATAATTATTTTCGTTGTCCATGATCTTAACATTGTCCCAATTAAAAGTATGATGTTCATTTATTATGTGTTCAGAAATTACTGAATGTTTCGTTGAGTCCAACCTAATATTATTTTTATGTTCTTTTATTCGCGTCTGCAATTGCCTCTTTGTTTGGCCTACATAAGATGCATTACAATTATTGCAACTGATCTTATAAACCACATTCGAATTGCATGGATGTTTAGTTTTATCTTTCTGCGCTTTAATAATATTATCCAGTTTGTTGAGACATCTATACCCTACCATACAATTTTTATTTTTTACCGAGGAAACAATCATTTCTGAGATCCCATCTATATACGGAATGACAAAGAATTTTTTATTGACCGAGTCATTTCTTATACTTTTTGTTCTTTCTATGTTGGCCTGTCTCTCTATAATGCTCCCCTTAGATATGATGTGTTCTATCCGATGATTAATTTTGTTAAAAATCAGATCAAGAGGGTAACCATTGCTTCTGAGTATATTAATAATTAACTCCAAATTTTTATTAAAAAATAGTGGATGTGATAGCAATAGACATCTGTCTACAAGGTTATATATTATTCCTATTTTGTGGCATAGTGGGTGGTTTGAATAAAATGATAACGTCCTTCCTGAGAAGGTTTCTTTTTGATACCAGTCTATATATATTTTGTTATTAATAATTTTAAGTGATAAATCTAAGAAATTCAAGCTATGGTTAACCTCTTGTTCGACCGTGAATTTAAGTCTTTCATGATAGTTGTTAAAATTATTCACAATCTGAGTCATATTAGTCATAGAGGTGGCCACTATTATGTCATCCACATAACGAAAATAAAACAAACATTCCAAATTCAACGCTTTGAGAACTGTATCCTCAAGATCTTGCATAACCAGGTCTGCAATAATTGGTGATAACGGTGACCCCATAGGGGTCCCAAACGTCTGTTTATAAATTATGTCATCAAATGTAAAATATGTAGAAGTCCATATGAATTTTATACCCCCCAAAAATTCGTTTTTCGGTATTTTAGTATTTATTCCAATGTGATCCCATCTATCGTTAATACCGTCAATCGCAAGATCCAGAGGAACGTTCGTAAACAAAGACACCACATCCAAGGAAAACATCCTATCATTCTCATCAATCTTTTTACCAGACAATATGCTGTACAAATCAAAACTATTATTAATATGACTTTTCGCTTTGGGTAGACTAGTTCGTAAGGTGTTTTGTAAAAACGAAGCCAGCGAGTATAGAGCTGTATCAACCGATGAAACTATGATTCTAACTGGATAGTTTTCCTTATGGATTTTCGGTAATCCATACGCTTTTGGAAGGAGAGAATCACTACAACGTAATTTATAATATTCGTTTTTTGAAATATAATCTTCCTTAAGCCATCTCTTCAACAAATCATTCAAATCGTTCTCTATTTTTTTGCACGGATTATTTTTAACGATAGTGTAAGTGTTGACATCTTTTAAAACGTTTTCCATTTTGTTAATATAATGAGATCTTTCCATTGCCACCGTAGCATTACCCTTGTCCGCGCGTGTGAATAGAACATTCGGATTGTCTTTACAAAATTTTATTAAATCTCTGTGTGCACCAAGTAATTTTTGTTGACTTACGTCATTTTTATCCTTCGTGTTCAGAAGTTGTGCAAATTTTGGAACCGCGATATTTCTGATTGTTGTGAGATTATTAATATTATTTCGTTTGCTATTACTCTCTATGTCCTTGATGAATTCATGTATCGCTGTTTTTTTACTAATATTCGGAAGACAGAATTTATCACCCATTTGCAACAGATTAGAAACGTTAGGCGGAATGTCTGTGTTGGAAAGATTAACAAACCATTTTTTATTAGTATTTTCCAAAGGGTTAATTGTATCATTGAGAAATTTATTGGCTTCTATGTGTATATTGATCTCCTTGGCATCATTAGTGATTGCCCTGAGAGAATTTTGTGATATTTTCGTCGGTTGTGAAGTTTCAAAATGTAAAGAACAATGTATATCTATAGGTTTGTTTATTTCAGTTTACGTACATGCGATCCGATTTATTATTGTGACTCGTTGAAATGGAATTTAGGGTGCGAATCGGAGAGTTGCAAGCTGAATATAGGCTGGAAAAATTTTATCGGAATTAATATCGAAGGCGTCACGTGTCGGCTAATCATTGCTTGCCTCGTCTATTTGACACCGATTGTGCAATAATATTGGCCTTCGTCGCCCTTCGTCGAATCGGTTTCGTCATCTCTAAGCGCGATCGACTGCTACTATAAGAGTCCCGCTTCAAAAGTTCGCTTCAGAAGCCTCTTTCTTTTTCTCCGAGAAAAAATCATCCGCGCGAAACCCATATATATCATTTTTCGCAATGCAAACAACTTTCAAATATCGTTCGCCGATATGTCCTTCTATGCTTGCGCAATATTTCTGTTTACATCATACAACGTAGTGAATTTTGGCAGAATTTTTAGGTACCCGCACAAGTCCACTTCTGTGAAAATTGAGAAGTCTCTCCTCTCTGGTCTACTTTCGGAGTTTTTGGATTGCTGTTAAGCTGACGAGTGATGACGTCATCACTTATATCATGAGAGAGGAGGACGATGTAAACGTATATGTATAATGTATGTATGTGTTTATGTGTTTATGTTGTGTATGTTTTACTCTTCGCTTCTACGAAATGCGCTGGAAGCCCTGAAAATATCGGTGAGCGACTTGCAAATCCATACATATAAAGGTCGCTTCTTTATTATGTTCCGTAAGAAGTTCTCGGCATAAAAAGAGGTAATTATAGAAATACTCGAGTAATGTGTTCAGCTACAAATGCTAATCTCCATCGTAGGACAATATTGTATATATAAGTTTCTCACGATATCTTGCATCAGGGTTTGAATAGAATAATTGAATCTTTCATGGGTTCAAAAAAAATGTAGAAACACTATTCAGGCAACACTTTGATTTTTATTTATAGTATATATTATTCGTCTACCTGCTAAGATTTACAGTTATCAAATACTAAACGAATTTTTTTCTAAATTTATTTTTAAACATGCTTTGATAATATTTTAATTTACTGATTTTTTTAAATTGTCTCCGAATGAAGAATATTAGATCCAATGAATCAACACGCCAACGTAATAAATGTAACACGCTTCATAAATGTCTCAATTCTTGGCGATATGTTCTAGAATAAACTATTTATGAAGGTCAATTTTCGAAAACGTCAGGATGATGCCTGATGTCAAGAGATACTAAGTCGAAGTCGAAATGTCGATAAATCTTTTTACTTAGAAATCTCACGAAAGTTTCGCGAATTATGATAAGATTGAAATATAATGCGCGTTATAGTAAGCTATCCTTGACTCGTTATCTTTTGCTGTGCGGTTGAAAAATTATCCTAGAATTATTATGCGGTTTAAAGCGATAGCAAATACCTACATATAGTGCCTTTGATGTTCTTCGGTATAGTCTAAGGAAAAGAAACCGTTCATTGGTTCAATAGTAAACTGCAAATAGTTACGACGAATTAATCGTTCCGCTTTAATACAGCGTGCTTCGAGGACACATGCTTATGTCATTTATGTAATCCACCACATACCATGAGTGTGCATAAGAACCTACTATTTTTTATTGGTTAGGCGGCTATTGTTTTTGCAACATTATGTTATATCGTTTGCGGAAAAATGATCTTGTGGGCGAGCTATTAGATTTTTACTTTCTGTTTCCAGTTTCATCTGTATCAAACCATATATAATTTTCTTTTAGAGTTTACTTTAAAAATCATGATAATCGTGGGACAATATATGGTGTTGGAAGAATTTTATAAGAGTTTCTCTCATTAATATTTTTGCCATGATAAAAACAATTAATATCTACACTGAAAAACAATTTTATTGAATTTGAATAAATATTTATTTCAATTGTGTTTAATAAATCATTTATTTTAAACTAATAATATTGATTTGATGCGAAAAATATTTATTTGTTTTAAATAAATTATTTATTAGACAGCTTGAAATAAATATTTATATTAATTTAATAATTTTTTTCAGTGTACCATAATAAGATATATTAAATATGTTCAATTAATTTTATACTATGTATGTACATAGTAAATTTTATTAAGAATTACTACTAACAATAAGTATTTTATAAGTTTTTCTGTGATTAATATTTGCCACAATAAAAAATATTAATATGTACATATTAATCCGAAAAACACTTACAAAATGCTTCCAATATACCAATAATTGTCCCACGATTACCATAATTTTCAGGGTAAATTCTAAGAGAGAATTCTTTCCGTGTAGATCATTACAATGTCATCTATATATAATTGTTTAATTAGTTAGCGTACGTGTCGCGAATCCCTCACGGGCAGCGACATCCACGACAGGAAAAAAAGAAAAAATAACACGCATCTAATCGCCATGATATACTAATGACTGCGATACGGGATGCATAATAATGTATGCATTTACGGCGATTCACGTGTCGCGCCGAGTTTAGCGCAAAAGTGAGCGATACAAAAGCGAGAATGACGCGTCTCTTACTTTGTATTATCCTCCGAGAAGCGAACAAAAGAATTGGTATTTTGCGGCATATTTAGTGCCCGCGAGACGACCTTGCGACAGTATTCCCTCTAGATCCGAAACGGACGCGAATAGACAGCTGTTAGCCCTGCTCGTCTTCGAGTCTCCCGTTCGCGTTCAAATGTCAAACGGCAAAGAGGCTCTGTTTATCCATCCGTTCGAAGAGGCTTCGCCCACGCCTTCGTTCGCCTCCGATGTCTCGTCGTCTCAATACCGTTCCGATCAAACGCGGATGTGACGTTCAAGGTCGCGCAACCTCGAGGGATCTCGCGCGCTTGCGGCAATTAGGAAAATATCGCCAATCGCCGATTTCATCACACGACATCAGCTCGGTGAAGCGAGATGAGATGAATCTATCTTCTGAACACTTGAATTAGCTACTCAAGGTCGTGCCTTAGGCATGCCTGATTCGCCGCCGCTTACTCCGAAGAAGTAATAGAGAATCACGTAATAGAGAATCCGAGTTCTCACGAGCGAGTTTTCCTGCAACGCATTAATTTTTTATTATTTTTAGACGGAGAATTGTTAAATTTGTTACGTGAGGTATTTTTGGCGCGAAATTGTGTAATGTTAAAGCTAAAAAAAATATGGTCGAAGAAGCAACATCTCGTCGATTCATTAATTTTTCCTCGCGCGCTATTTATGATGAAGCGCGAGGTCAATTTTCTATTCCAGTGAGTATACGTGGACTTTAATTACTTATTAACGAATACTGTGCTCGTTTTGATTCTTGACAAGTATTGTATTTACGTACATATAATGTCCAGTTTCGCGTAGTGACGACAGCAAAGTAGCTTTACGAGTTCTTCTTTTATGCAACGCGAGGATTTGTCGATTGTCTTACGTCAAACCGTGGAAGTAAGATTCTACAACTCTATTTACCTAGATTTTTTTCTTTCGTACGCGAGAGAAAGAGAGAAAAGTATAAATAATTGATTTAATCCTTTTCCGATTCTAACAATAGATTTTAATAATAGAATACTGACGCGCGTGCACCCGCATCGGAGTTGCTTCATTAATTTAACTGAAAACTATAGAGTATCGCGTAATATTCACACGTAATAGCTTGAGTTGATTAAGTTAAAACAGCTCGCAATTAAATCTTTACTTCAAAGTTATGCCGTAAAATGCAATTTACATAATTGCGGACCGTGCGATGAAATTAAAAAGCGTGATGAAGTAATCCATTTATCGTGCAAACTCTCTAATTATTTCGCGCGATTACGAAAAAAATGTAATTGCCTTTTTCGACGTTGCCGTTTAAGTAACTCGCTCAAAAGCAGTGCCTCGGTTTCATGAGAAATTTCTCCCGTGATTTCGTTACAGCGAAGGCGACAGATACGTGAAGGTGGCGTGGAAGGATGTCAAGGTGGGTGATCTGGTTCACCTCTCGAACAACGAACTGGTACCGGCCGATCTTTTGCTTCTGAGGAGCAGCGATCCTCAGGGATTAGCTTATCTCGATACATGCAACCTCGACGGGGAGTCGAATTTGAAGCAACGTCAGGTCGTCAGAGGTTTCCTCGATCTGCAGGATACCTTTCAGCCTGTCAAGTTTCAGTCAGTAGTCGAGGTCGATCAGCCAAGTACTAGGATATATAGGTAATATATACAACAACGATCATTTGTCACGTTTGCGATGTATTAAAATAGACTTTTAGAATCTCCTTATTTTTATAAATTTCAAAAAAACTCGGATAAAAGAAGAGCAAATATTTCTTAACACGTCTGTCATTCATATATGTTTCTTTAACATTTTTTATGATTTATTCCAAAAGCAGTTATTATAACGGTATTTATTGTTGCAATAACATTTGTAAACAAATTAACTAGATTATGAATCATCCCTTAAATGCATCTATTAGGTTTCATGGAGCTGTAGTGCATCCGAACGGTGGCAGGGTGCCCGTGTCCACGGAAAATCTTTTGCTCAGGGAATGTGTTTTAAAGAACACTGACTTTGTCGAGGGTATAGTCATATACGCCGGTCACGAGACTAAAGCGTTGCTGAACAACGGTGGACCCAGGTACAAGGTAAAAAAATATTTTAAAAATAATTTTTAATAATAAAACAAATGAATTGACAACTAAAATAATTAAGAGGCTAAGTGTATTCAAGAATAATTACATTTTTTTATTTTCTAAGCAGTAGAAATTGTTCTTGAATATTTTGAGCTATATAAAATAGTTTTTGGATATGACTAAGTAAGTGTCTAAAAAGATGTATAAGAGAGAGAGAGAGAGAACAACGTCAAAACTTTTAAAACTCTTCCTTAATTAAGGTCGCGAAAAGTTTGGCTTTGTTTCATCATAATTAAAATGCAGAAAGAGTTTAGTCAGCAAAAAGCATCGATCAAAATGTCAAAAGCGAAAGAAATACGAAAGAAAAGAAAAAGATTCGTATATATGTGTATGTAAACGTGAGTTGAGAAAAAGAAACTTAAAAATAAATCTTGCTCTGCATATGATTTCGCAAATTGCCTATAAATAAGTAGGTAGATAGCACGAATAGATAACGCGAAAAGTAGCTCTAACGTGCGGATTGAAATAATAATGCGATACGAATTTCAGCGTTCCCGTCTGGAGAAGCAGATGAATAGGGACGTGAAATGGTGCGTGGGATACTGTTGGTCCTGTGCGTGATCGGTGCGTTCGGCTGCCGATTCTGGTTGTCCGCGTACACGGGCTTGACGGTGGTACCGTTTCTGCCGGTGCTGCAAGAACCGGTCTACGAGAGCATCCTGACATTCCTGACCTTCGTCATAATATTTCAAGTGATGATACCGCTGAGCCTCTATGTGACGATCGAGATGGCCAAGGTGGGACAGGTGTATCACATCGGCCACGATCCGGCCCTCCACGACACGGAAACCGGCCGTAAGGCGGAGTGCCGCGCGCTGAATATCACGGAGGAACTAGGCCAAGTGAGTGCGGTAATTTATATTAAATGAATCTGCGCGCGCGAGAGAGAGTATTTTATACGATCAATATTATGGAAAATTATACTTTCTCACGAGAGAAAAAAAATTGGTGGTGTGTTAGAAAATTATTAATATATTATTATGCTTTATTAACATTTCTCGTCTCTCATTTGCATTTCCACTTTGATTGGTATCTGTCATCCGTTACGTCATGTTATCGTCTTTCGTCATCTTCTCATTTCTTTGCATTTTGCTCTGACAAACGTATCCTATAGATATTTAAAATTAGTTACCATTAAATTACAGGTACAATACGTTTTTTCCGACAAGACTGGCACCCTCACGGAGAACAAAATGCTATTCAGGAGATGCGCGGTAGGCGGACAGGATTACTCGCACATGGGCGACAACGAGAATCTGCTTCCGTGTCTACGGCTTAAAGAGGACCTACTTATAAGTACATTTCGACATCGCTTACAGGAGTTTCTAATTGTCTTGGCCACGTGCAACACGGTTGTCGTAAATTCTCAAACGCATCACGATATCATGAACTCTAGTGGAGTAATCGAGGAACCTCAAAAGAATGGAACTGGTCTTAGAAGGTTGGCATATTTTAAATTAAGAAATGGTTCATTAAACGCGACCAATGTTTAATGGGCGAATCAAATCTATTATCATTTTTTATCACGTTTTTTCTGTGAATTTAATGCAATGATATTTATAGAATAACAGAGCGGATACCAATTCATTTCCGACCGCAAATTCCCGCCGGTACCGATATCTCGAGCAACAGAAGTGTCCGCACTTTGTCTCCAGTGTCACCTGTAATCAGCACGACGAATACGTTCAACGATACGCCAAAAATTTCCGTTTAAACTTTCCAGGTTGGTATAACGTTTGAGTATACATAAAATACGAAGATGTTTAACGGAGCAATTTGTTTCGCAGGCCAAAGTTGCTGTGAATGTAACGTCGATACCGAGCCTAGGCATCGGTTTATTGGGACGAAAACTTTCGCCGGACAATCAGAAGAGACGTAGTCCAGACACGAAAAACAGCGACGAGTTGCTACAACATCAAGCGATCTACGAGGCAGAAAGTCCGGACGAGTTGGCATTAGTACACGCGGCGCGCGCTTACGATGTCAAGCTGGTGAAACGAACGCCTCGCAGTGCAATCGTTTCCTTTCCGGACAAATCGACACTCGCGTTCGAGATACTTCACGTAGGTGGTTGCGAGTGAATGAAATAATGTGAAGTGTTCAGTTAACCGATTGTAATTCCTCGATCTCTTGTAGGTGCTGCCGTTCGATCGAACAGGAAGTGCATGTCGGTGTTACTTAGGCATCCTCACCGGAGAGATAGTGTTATACAGCAAGGCGCTGACACACGATGTGTCAGCGTTGTTGCCGAGCGACGAGAACAATGTCGCATCGGCGAGTATTCGACAGTACCTGCAGTCGTACGCGCGTCAAGGATTGCGTACCCTGGTGATGACGAGGAGAACATTGACGTCGCAGGAGTACGAGATGGAGGGGCGGGAGAAGCACGAAGAGCAGGCAGAACTGGCGACGGAGAATCGCGAGCGTCGCATACGCGATTCGTACGCGATGCTGGAGTCGCAGTTGATCTTGCTAGGAGTGACTGGCATCGAAGACAAGTTGCAAGTCGGCGTGCCTGAGACGATGGCCGCTCTGGTTGCCGCCGGGATCGTCGTATGGGTTTTGACAGGTTCGTGGAAAGGCTCGTATGCGGACGAGTGACACAACCGGGTTTAACGTTAGCATACGCGCATTTTTAATAAACAATCATCGTACAGAAATACACGATGCGGTTCACATCGAATCGCAAATGCATTAATCAGCTTCCTTCTATGCATTACATTACATAAACGACCTTATATAGATTATATAAGATTATAGTATTGTAAGATAAAAAAGAAATTATGTAGGCGAAATATGCATAGAATGATAAAATCAACGTTTCTCTCGAAACCACGTTCTTGGGCATAATAACGCGTGCTCATGTCAAAGCGATTACGCGACTTCGTGTCACAACACACACACATGTGATCGCTTTGTGGTTTTAGGGGGACAAGCCTGAG